CACAGCACAGGCCAGTTTAAAAAATATATATATAATTTCTGAATAGTTTCTGTGGGTTGTGTTCTTTAAATTGTATTCAGTTTTATATTTCATATATTTTAAATATTGCACACTAGTCGGTTGTTTCTGATACCGAACTATTAAATAGGCAGTGTAGGCACCAACCTATGGACCCCACTCTGTTTAAAGTGGAACTTCACTCTCTCAATCAACATTGACAATTTGTAATCCTTATGCTGCTTGCATTACTAAATAGATAGAAACGTATATTATATTTACTTGTTTTAAACTTTTTTTTTACATTTCTTCAGTTACTTCCTGGTTTCCATGCCTAGGCAATTTATGTCATACATCCCAGGAGTCTTCAGGAGGGGAGGAGGGGCTTTCTCAGCTAAGGCAGATGGATTGCAGTTTGAAGGAAGTAAAGTCCCCTGCCCTTACTTAAAATGGCCTTGGCCAGAAATGCTAGAGGGGTGTTTTTTTTAAGCGATTTCACAGCAATATAAAGTATTGAGACATGGATAGATGGGGGAGTTTGCTTTGCATGTTAAAAATGAATTAAATAGTGTTTTGGGTTTTTTTTTTTTTTTTTTGGTTTGTACTGTTCAGATGCAGTATAGTTCGGCTTTAAGGTCCCAGCAACAACGGAACAAAATAATATTGATTTGATCTTGAAAGAACATTTCAATGAAGCCCTCAAATCTCTCTTGTATTGAACTGTATTGTTGCTGTATTGTCTCCCGCTATATTGTAAAGTGCTGAGCAAACTGTTGGTGCTATATAAATCCTGTATAATAATAATAATAATAATAATAATAATGAAGCCTAAATGGTTTACAAAAGATAGAAAAAAATGAATCAGCTCAAAGAAGTGAACACTTAACAATAAAGACTCTACAGAGAAAATACTGTATTAGTGTAATGTACCCAATAACAACTTAAAGAACATAAACCATAAACATCAGGTTCACATTACAGTTTGTCTCTTAAAAGCTCATTTTCTTTCAGCTGCCAGTTTGTAAAAATGTTTGGTGCAACCTATGTACATGTAATGTACAGTAGTGATGGTCATCTCTATCTAGCGGCTGATGTGCACACGACTTCAATGTTATCCCACTAGAGCGTAAGCACAAGAGACTTCCAGAAACCTAGGGGGGGGGGGGGGGTTGGAGGCCAAGGTTTGGGGGGGTTGGAGGCCAAGGTTGAGCTGCCTAGGGGCCTCTACAGAATTTAATCTGGCACTGGGTGTTTCCTCATTCTTGCAACTGGTGTGGTTATGCCACCTATGTCAGTTATTTAAATGTTTGGTTAAATGTATGATTTAATGTTGTTAATATATCATGTGCCTAAAATGCATGAACTATTTTATGCACATGCACTTTGTAATGGGGAAGTAAAACACACAATGATTATTTGTGTTTATATAGTACCGACAAGTTTATGCAGTTCTCTACAGAATACTCACATTCACCTCATTCCTTGTCCAAAGATCCACTGATCTACCTTGTGAGAAAAAGGATGAAGGGACAAGCATTGTGTAGCAAAGTTGGGAACAGAACCTTTGTATGCAATGAGCAAGGATGAGTGAAATTCCATCTCCCTGAAATCTTAGCAAAAATTGGGAGATTTTGGTGAAGTTTTGCCATCATGGCAAAATGCATTGGAGTCAATAGAGAAAGTGAAGCTAAGGTGCTTTTGGTGGTTTTAAAGTGGTTCTAAAGCCAGGATACTTTTTTTACCTTAATGCATTCCCTGTAATAAGGTAAACATACCACAGTTTTTTTTGCATCGCCCCCTACATTATACTTACCTGAGTCCTGTCTCGATCCAGTGCTATGCCCATCTGCAGTTGCTCTCTCTTCTCTTCCTTACATTAATAGCCAGCAACAAGAATACATCACTTGCAGTGGTAGTCAGACTGCCATCCTCACAAACAGCTAAAAAAGTTAGTTGGTTTCATGAAGCTGGCTCTGCCAAGTAGTGTTGGGCCTGGAATTATGCAGGCATCATCAAATGAGCAATTCAAGTAACCCTTAGCATCCTCTGAAGGAACCCTGGGATTTCATGGAGCCCTGGTTGAGAATAGCTGCTCTAAGGTTTACCAGTCTCCTGCAGTGGAACACTGAATGGGAGTTCTCATTCATAAGCACTCCTGAGTTCAGTGCCGTGCTGGGTGCCAGGGGAAATTGGGTAAACATTATTCATCATTCATGAGCAATTCTGAGTTCAGTACAGTGCTCTGTGATGGAGGAAAAGGAGATTGAGAACTTTCTTATTTTCCCCTTAGTGACAGAATGTAGGTAAAAAAAAGAAAAAAAAGGTTAAAAAGTAACAAATAAAAAAAAACTTAGCTTATCTCTACTGGCCAATAAATAGAGAATGTCAGGAAAAATGTACCTGGGGGAAAGCTTTGGATTGAAGTTGATTATTGTGGCAAAGCTAGCTTTGTTATGAAGAGAGTTCAAGTCAAACCAGGACTTTTAATTTTAAAAAGAGATGCTAGCATGCACTTATTATTATTATTATTATTATACAGTATTTATAAAGCGTCAACAGTTCGCTCAGTGCTGTACATTGCAATGGGAGACTGAACATGCAACAGTACAGTAACAATACAATACGATACACGAGGGGTTTGAGGGCCCTGCTCCTTTGAGCTTACAATCTAGGAGAGAGGGGATAGTGGTACAGGAGGAGATAGCTGTGGGGAATGGAGTGGTAGGAAGAGTGGAGGAGGTCGGCAAATTAGCAGGGGGTGGGGTAGGCTTCCCTGAAGAGGTGGGTTTTCAGGGTGCGTCTAAAGGAGAGGAGAGTAGGTGATAGTCAGATGGGTTGGGGCAGGGAGTTCCAGAGGATGGGTGACACCCTGGAGAAATCCTGGAGGTGGGCATGGGAGGAGGAGACCAGGGAGCTCCGGAGTGTGCGTGCTGGGTGGTACTTGGAAATTAGGTCGGTGATGTAATTTGGGGCAGTATGGTGGACAGCTTTGTACATCAGTGCTAGGATTTTGAATTTGATCTGTTGCGCAATCAGAAGCCAGTGGAGGGATTGGCAGAGGGGGGTGGTGGAAACGGAGCGGTTGGTAAGGTGAATGAGTCTGGCTGCCGTATTCAGGATTGACTGAAGTGGGGATAGCCTGTGGTGAGGTAGGCCAGTGAGGAGGGAGTTGCAGTAATCAAGTCGTGATATGATGAGGGAGTGGATGAGCTGTTTAGTGGTTTCTGGGGTTAGAAACGTGCAGATTTTGGCGATGTTGCGGAGGTGGAGTCTGCATGAGTTTGTTAGTGATTGGATTTGGGGCTGGAAGGATAGGTTGGAGTCCAGAATGATACCAAGTACTCTGGCCTGTGGGGCGGGCCTGATAGTGGCATTGTTGGACGTGATGGAGAAGTCAGTGGGGGGTGGTGTGCTGGCTGGGGGGAAGACTAGGAGCTCGGTTTTGGAGAGTTTCCGTTTAAGGAAGTGGAGCGACATCCAGTCTGATATGTCGTTCAGTAGGTTTGTGATTTGGACAGATACGGAGGGGGTGAGGCGAGGGGTTGAGAGATAGATTTGTGTGTCATCGGCATAGAGGTGGTAGTTGAAGCCATGAGAGTGTATGAGTTGGCCAAGGGAGGAGGTGTAGATGGAGAAGAGAAGGGGCCCGAGGACGGAGCCTTGAGGGACCCCAACAGAGAGGGGGAGTGAGGGGGAGTTGGTAGCATTATAGGTAACTCTGAAAGAGCGTTGTGATAGGTAGGATGAGAGCCAAAAGAGAGCAGAATCTCTGAGGCCGAGGGAGTGTAGTTTTTTTTTGAGGAGGAGGGGGTGGTCGACTGTGTCGAAGGCCACGGAGAGGTCAAGGAGTAGGAGCACTGAATAGTGGCCATTAGCTTTGGCGGTTAGAAGGTCGTTGGAGAGTTTGAGTAAGGCAGTTTCGGTGGAGTGTAGGGGATGGAAGCCGGACTGTAGGGGATCAAGGAGGTTGTTGTCCTTGAGGTGAGAGCTTAGGCGAGTGTAGACTAAGCGCTCGAGGAGTTTGGATGTGAATGGGAGCAGGGAGATGGGTCTGAGATTGTTTGGGTCATTGGGGTCCAGGGTGGGCTTTTTAAGTATGGGGGTGATGTGTGCATGCTTCAGAGGGGAGGGGAATGTGCCGGAAGAGAGGGAGAGATTAAAGATGTGGGATGGAGGGGGAGAGTAGGATGGAGGGGGAGGGAGGTTGTAGGAGTTGTAAGGGGATAGGGTTGAGGGTGCAGGTGGTGAGGCGGGCATCAGAGAAGACCTTGGAGATCTCCTCGATGGTAGTAAGGTCAAAGGTGTGGAGTGTTGAGGGGACTTCAGTGTGAGGAATGTTGGGTGGGGTGGAGGTCAGAGCAGTGGTGGGGCCGTGGGAAAGGGGTGATGAGGGGGTAGCTGTGTGAGAGGGGACAGGGTTGGAGGGAGTGAGAGCAGCAACAAAGTCTTTGCTTCATGTGGTTAAAGGCGCTAGTGAGCCAAGGGCTGTTGACAGCGTGTTGTTATAGGCAGTCATAGCCAGGTCAGGGCAGGACAGGGGGAGGATGCTGTCATGGAGTTGATCAGCTGAAGAGTGGAGGGGGCAGGGTTCAGGTTGCGGAGGTTACGGCTGGTGGTAGTATGACATTTGGAGGGGTAGGCGTTAGAGGACGAGGAGATAGAGAAATTAATAAGGTTGTGGTCAGAGAGAGGGAAGGTGGTGTTTGTGAGGTTGTGGGGAGCGCAGCGGTTGGAGAAGACAAGGTCCAGGATATTTCTGTTGGAGTGGGTGGTGGATTGTATGCACTGTGCAAGTGCAAGGAGGAGGTTAAGTGGAGGAGTTGGGATGTGGCCGGGTTGTCAATGTTGACAGGGATGTTGAAATCCCCAAGAATGATGGTGGGTAGCTCGGAGGAGAGAAAGAAGGGTAACCAGGAGGAAAATGCAGTAGTAAATGGCAAACGTGTCTTATTATTGGTAGGCGGCACACATGTTGCGGGCCAGTCCAGAGACCGATAATCAAGATGGCAGACAACAGTGTTAGTGCGTGCTTAGAACAGCATGTGGTGATGAAGTTTCTTGTGACTGAAGGCTTAAAACCCATGGATATCTACAGAAGACTTCAAGCACAGTACGGTGATGAGACACTCAACCACAGTAAGAATTTGAATGGTGTAAGAGCTGATTCACATAGTGAAGTGTGAATTGAAGCTCAGGTTTCACAGCCAACTGACACAGTAGTTGTTGAGTGAGTAGGTTTACATCAGGTTCAGGACAGGATTAGGTCAGGATTTTATCCTGTTCACACATATGCAGTTTGGGAACGGTTCCCATAAAAGTCAATAGCCTGTAATCCGCACCTGAACCTGATGGCACTACTCAAAAATCGTACATGACTCTTTTTAAAACCACATTGAATCCGCACCGCCAGTGCACCAGACATACGTGAACAGGCACCATAGGAAGCAATGTTCAAACCGCATCCAGTCCACATAATATGAGAACCAGCATTAAACATCCATCAGGGACCATGGTAGTTTCCCAGCCTATAGCAGTAATTTCTGTGAACATTCAGCATGTGGAAAGCCTGATCTGGATAATCAATGCATAACCTGTCGTAAAATTGCACCAGAGACAAATCTTTCTGTGGTGGTGAACACAATAATGACAAAGTGAAGCAGGCTGTCCTAGGATGGTTCAGGCATACTGACAAATCTTTCTGTGCCGAAGCCTTTCAGGCATTCGTTAAATGCTGGGATAAGAGTATAAATGTAGCAGGGGAGTATGTAAAAAATAAATGCAGTTTCCACTTCTTTAAAATATTTTCTTTTTATTATAAAAACCCAAAAGTTCTGGTTTGATTTGAGCGCCCCTCGTATTTTAGGCTATTTTTTTTATCTTGTAATTTTTGGATGGAGGTCTGCTTTAAATTGCTAGTACAAAAATAGCAAATACACAAAAAAAGTGAAAATATAAATACAAGGAACACTTATTGAGTACCTTAATTGTTTAAAAAATTCACCTAAACAGTTCAACAAACAGTAACTTCTATGCAGCCTTAAAGAACTTGAACTAGTTTACCTTATCACTAGCAGTTATGGAATCTGTCATAGAAAAATCAGGTACGAATAACATCCTACACCATTTCACAGTTATCTGTATTGGAGACAACACGACATACATGCAACACATGCACATACATACTTGTATGTTAAGAAATTTTTATGTTGGTTTTGATGACTGGTATAGGGTGGGAGTTTTTGCTCTGAATCAGAAAAAGCTTTCTGCCCTAAAATTAGCCTCTCGGGTTTTTAGGCTAAAAGCATTCTTGTTGCAAGAGTCTTGGTAACTGAGCTGTGCCAGCTTCCTTGGCTGCTAGGTAATGCAAATAAACGGTAAGAGGAAGAACATTTCACTGAACTGCCATGCCTTGTAATAATGTGTTACGATGTCTGCTAAACTGCTTAGGTCTATGGTTCAGAGAGCTACTTTATTCCGCAGAGCATACACTTAAATAACATCCTTTGTAACCTGTTTCAGATGCCCTTGGCCAAACTGCAGCCAATGTATGAAAAAAAAATTGAGTGGGGAAATTTCATAGTAAATGCCAGTTTGTAGTTTTTCCACAGTTCTTGGGCACTGTAAATCAAGTCTATAATAATTTTAACAATTGTTTTGTTTTTCAATTGGTTAAAAAAATTAACCCCAGTGCATGTTGAAAAATAATCTTTGGACTCTTTTTTTTCTTATTTACTTTGACATTATTTTGTATTGTAATATAAAAAAAATAAAATAAAACAACAGTTCCAAAAAGAAACAGATATGTGAAACCAGAGGCATAACTTTTTGTCTATGGACAGGTAAGGTGTATAACTTTGATTATTGTGTTACAATGGCATTTGAAATTCAGTTGGATATGTTAGGCAGCAGGTGAGCATATTGTCCCTGAAGTTGAGGTGTTGAAAGCAGAAAAATGGGCATTGCACTTTGTTGTGTATGGGGCTATGTAGCTGCAGATCGGTTACAGTACTCATGATGACTTTTGTCCACAGCCACAATTGCCTACAATGGGCATGTGAGCATCAGGATTGGACCATGGAGCAATGGAAGAAGGTGGCCTGGTTTGATTAATTTTATTTTCTTTTACATCAAGTGGATGAATGGGTGCATGTTCATCGCTCAATATTAGGACTGTACTCCTAAGAGGTTTGTTAGAGAACATTAGTGAACAAACAGCATCATGAAGGCCAAGGAACACACAGGACATATCTGAAAAGAGTGGCATGCATTTGTATTCAGCCCCCTTTACTCTGATACCCCTAACTAAAATCTAGTGGAACCAATTGCTTTCAGAAGTCACCTAATTAGTAAATCCACCTGTGTAATTTAATCTCAGTATAAATACAGCTGCTTTATGTAGACCTCAGAGGTTTGTTAGAGAACATTAGTGAACAAACAGCATCATGAAGGCCAAGGAATACACCAGACAGGTCAGGGATAAAGTTTAAATTTAAAGCAGGGTTAGGTTATAAAAAAAAAATATCCCAAGCTTTGAACATCTCACGGAGCACTGTTAAATCCATCATCCGAAAATGGAAAGAGTATGGCACAACTGCAAACTCGCCAAGACATGGCTGTCCACCTAAATTGACAGGCTGAGCAAGGAGAGCATTATTCAGAGAAGCAGTCAAGAGGCCCATGGTAACTGTGGAGGAGCTGCAGAGATCCACAGCTCAGGTGGGAGAATCTGTCCACAGGATAACTATTAGTCGTGCACACCACAAGTCTGGCCTTTATGGAAGGGTGGAAAGCAGAAAGCCATTATTGAAGGAAAGCCATAAGAAGTCTCATTTGCAGTTTGCGAGAAGCCATGTGGGGGACACAGCTAACATGTGGAAGAAGATGCTCTGGTCAGATGAGACCAAAATTGAACTTTTTGGCCTAAAAACAAAACTCTATGTGTGGCGTAAAACTAACACTGCACATCACCCTGAACACACCATCCCCATCGTGAAACATGGTGGTGGCAGCATCATGTTAATGTTATGGGGATGCTTTTCTTCAGCAGGGACAGGGAAGCTGGTCAGAGTTGATGGGAATATGGATGGAGCCATTACAGGGCAATCTTAGAAGAAAACCTGTTAGGGTCTGCAAAAGACTTGAGACTGGGGCAGAGGTTCACCTTCCAGCAGGACAACGACCCTAAACATACAGCCAGAGCTACAATGGAATGGTTTAGATCAAAGCATATTCATGTGTTAGAATGGCCCAGTAAAAATCCAGACCTAAATCCAATTGAGAATCTGTGGCAAGACTTGAAAATTGCTGCTCACAGATGCTCTCCATCCAATCGGACAGAGCTTGAGCTATGTTGCAAAGAAGAATGGGCAAAAATGTCACTCTCTAGATGTGCAAAGCTGGTAGAAACAACCCCAAAAAGACTTGCAGCTGTAATTGCAGCGAAAGGTGGTTCTACAAAGTATTGACTCCGGGGGGGCTGAATACAAATGCATGCTACGACTTTCACATATTTATTTGTAAAAAATATTGAAAACCATTTATCATTTTCCTTCCACTTCACAATTATGTGCCACTTTGTGTTGGGCTATCACATAAAATCTCAATAAAATACATTGACATTTTTGGTTGTAACATGACAAAATGTGGAACATTTCAAGGGGTATAAATACTTTTTCAAGGCACTGTAAATGTAATACAATGCATGCTGTATAGTAGCTAGACAGAGTTAGTCGCCCCACCCCTCTTATTCTCATATTTCAGATTTACTATCCTCCTGTTTCCTATAACTTAGACATGCAGTGACTGTGCTCCATTCCGCACAGCACTTTTCATCTGTACCATGTGCTCAGGCTTTACGGAATGCCAATGTGCTTCAGTCCCCACTTTACTTTCTTTTTTGTGCCACTGTTTTCTGATTTCTAATCTCTTTTTATCTGCATTTTAATAACTTCCAATTGCTTATTATACTGTTTTGGGAAATGTTTTCATATCTGTAGGAGTTTCCTGACCCTACCTTCACTATTTGGCATATGTTTATTGATCTGAATGCCTTGATGTACAAGCACAGCTTGACAGGAGATCATATACTATTTTACTAACTTGGTAGTCAATAAATGTTCTTCTACCATGCAGGCAATACATACAATAAAAGTAATGGACACATTGGCACATTTTTGGTAGCAGTTATAAAATGTTGAAGGGCTACTTGAAAGAAATGTATGTGTAATACTAATCAATAAGGTTCACTATATATATCTCTTAGATTGTAGTGACAATTCCCTTGCACGGTAAATAATCCATTGCACAGTGATTTTTTTACTTAGATAGATCAAAACCTATGGTCCAGTTCACACCACGGCCGCATCAGAATAGCACAGGAAAGCGCTGTGCGTTCCTGTTCAATTCATATGTGGCTCTGTGTGGTGCAATTTAAAGCAAATTCTTTTTGAATGGGCTAAAATCGCACCGTGCCAAAAGTACTGCATGCACTACTTTGTAAAATGCTATGTAATCTGATTGCATGGCAAAAAAGTTCCATGCTATCCGGAGCAGGTCGGTGTGGGCAAACACACTGCATTTGCAACCTGCATTTGGGGTGTTGTTAACATTTTATTGACATTGATTTTGATGCGGGCATGGTGTGAACAAGCCCTTTATTTCACAAATTAGGATCTTGTCAGCCAAAGTATGCCACATTATTAGGCTTAATCCTTGAGTTGTGCTTTGCAATGCACATGGTGGTGTAAATTGTTGCACTCTTAGGCTAAGCATTAAGTGAAGTGAATAATATTTAGGCTCCATGTACACTAACATTTTTTATAAGCTCAGAAAATGCTGGATAAAAAAAAAAATGCTGGACCACTGGCATTTTTTTAGTAGCGTTGGCATTTTATTAGTACATGTACAAAAAAAGCTAGAAAAAAGCTGTTAGGAGCATTTTAGTATTATTATTTACTGCTCCTAGATGCAGAAGCACAAAAAACACTAATAGCCTAAAGTAGTGTGGATGGGCAGATAGAATAATACTATTTATCTTCTAGGAGCAGAAAAAAAATGCTAATTAACACAGTGACCAGTGCACGCTACAGTATTATGTGAAATCACAACATATATTGAAAATTAAATGCTTCAAAATATGAAAGTGCAAAATTCCACCTCCAGATATCTGCTCACCTCTAGCAGTGTGACCTCACATAATATTATGTTTGGTCTAACTGCGCTTTTGGTCCCAAATTGAGAACATTCCCCTTGAGAAAGTCACGTGATGAGTGAAGAAACACGTTGGTGAGGAGCTTTGGATGACGTCATGACGCATTGCGGTGAGCATTATGGCATCAGCAGTGTATGCACTGATCTGCATATGGTAATATTGGATCTGCTTCCTGTTTAGGGCTTTCCTGGAGCTATGTCTGCCTCCTGGAATGCATCATGATTAGTGGGAGGGTCCCTCCATGTACTATTTATAGACGTCGCCACACCCCTGATGACGCCAATTGGATGACAAAAAGCGTTGGGTGGAGCTTCGGCGTGTGACGTCATTACATTTTTTTGGAGGGACGGTGGCCATTTTCCTGATTGGAAACTTGATTCAAATGCTGGTAACCATCCAATACAATGTACGAGTAACTTGTAATAAACAGGGTGATTATATTA